CCTTTTTGGCGACCTCATTAGTGAATAAATAAAAAATAATAGATGGTATATTCTCAACATTGCGTTCACTGCTGCGTAGGCATGATCATATGATAACTGCTCGAATGATAGGCAACTGCACATAAACGTCCCAATTTTACCGGTAGCATCGAATCTAAGTTCCATGGATCTATGCAATAGAAAATTGTGTGTGTATGTAGCGTTGTTGCTACGATTTGTACATGTTGCGCTGTATTTGTGATTGTGCTTACTCAATTCCTCGGTGTGAAATGAATCAAAAAAATACGTAACTTGGATGGCTGTCGTCGGCGACTGGGTAAGATCATTTGGACAGACAAGGAGCAGTGACTTGATTTAGCGGCGAGTCATATCAGCGCAGTCACCGTGTTGTTAAACAGACATATGTGGCTTTTATAAAGTGAAGGCTTGCAAGAGGAACCCCCCTCCATCCTAGAACAATGTCATCGAGCCATTTGTGGTAAGCTGATTTACCAGAACCTTCTAGTTGACATTACGAGGAGGTTGTTAGACCAGCCATCCTGAGGATGCATTATCGAAAACACATATTTACACACTGACATGGAATATTTCGTTTAGTTCATTATCAACGTTTCCACGTTTAGGTTTATGCAGTTGGACTGTAGAAACACCCTAAATATAAAATTGGCAATATTTACTTTTTCCCCAACCCGTACCATCTTTCTAGGCTAACGGGCACCGAGAGAATAAAAAGCGTATGCCGGAAACGTCGGAGGCAGTCGCGCTCCGGATGTGCCTACATATAAAAAATTAAGGAAGATGAGACGAACATAACCCCTAGTTATCATCTGTGAAATATAAAAGTATAAGTTTGTAACACTTTAGATACGACAATGTACGGGAAAATTTCTAGATCACTACAGTGTCTATGGCGGCTGATAAATTATAGACAAAGCATGTATCCAGATAAATGAAAGTCTGCGCATCATATTGCGGCCCACACTTCCTTTCCTTCTACTTTATTACCGCCCGAACATCTGTCGTGTGATTGTAAGGAATACTGGTTAATCAACAGATCGAAAACCCAGAGGACACTTGGAATCAGTTTATCAAATAAACAAGAAATGTTTACTCGGATCTCTTCAGTTTATCATCTGACTACATAAAATATTTGTTGTAACATATTTTTATCTTTCCCTTATAAGGAATAGTTCCTCGTACCGTCCAGTAAGGTACAACCTATTTATCAAGCCAGATTTGTAACTTTTATTGGCCTTGTATTGGATAACCTTTGCAAAGCTTTCCAATGTGCAACAAAACACTCCTCCACAGGAAAGATTACACCGTTCGATAACGAAACTGCTAGTGACAAATAGTCTTACTGATTATTGATTGCTAGTTGGAAGCGGCAAGAAGACATATCTCTGTGTAGCTTCATCTAATATCACTCAGGTATAACGACGCGTTATGTTGGAGTGCGCTCGATTTACTTTTTATCGTCAAAGTGTTTGTCCAGGAATTGCTGCGGCAGGTTGCTCCATACATTTACTACTCTTCGTTTGAAATAGAGTTGATAAGCGAGCTGCTTCAAATCCGGTACGACAAACTTGTACCGGTGTCATTGTGTGCTACTTGGTGTGCTGCTTGGTGTGCGTAAATGAAGCGGCTTCCTCAGCATGGGGTATTCACCGAGATGTACTATCCGGTGTTTCATGATAAGGTCAACCCGAAGTCGAAGATAAGCTAGAGTGTAAAGCCATAGTTTCTTACACCGGTGTTCTTACGGCACACCTCGTAAATTGGAAATCAACCTGGTGGCCATATTTTGCACTCACTGAATCTTTTCTACCTCGCCCTGGGTGACAAGAAAATACGCAGAGAGCTATACTCTAAAATTGATTGTATTATTGAGACGAAGAGCCGAGTGGCAATCGCTTCGAACCAAGTGCTGAAGCTGCGCCTGAGCGCCCAAAGCATACGAATGCCGTTTTAGTAAAGCCTATTAATGCTGTTCATGGACTTTAGGTCATAGCGTGAGAGTACACCGAGTTCTCGCATGAGAGGCACGGGATGCAATGGTTGACCGACCACCGTGTAGTTTCGACTGTGTTCACACTTACACAGTCTCATGAATTGTGAGTCAACCCGGTTGATCGGAAGGTTGACCACTGCAGACCACATGGAGAGGCGGTCGAGGTTCTGCTGAAGTAGGTCAGTCACTGGGTGCGCGGATTACTTTCCACACCTTCAAATCATATGCAAACAAAGCACATGGTGAACTGAGTAGCTGAGGCACACAGTTTACATGGATTAGGAACAAAATGGGCCCCAGTACATGCCTTGGAGCACGCCACTGCTCGATGGATACTAGTCGATCAAATGGTTGTCGAACTTGACCCTCCACTTTCGGCCAAATTCCTGATCCATCGGTGCAACGAGCCGCCAATACTGCACAACCTCATCGTGTCGAGGAGCACTGCATGATTCACCTTCTCAAAAGGCTTACTGGAGTCAATGTAAATGATGTCGACCAACTTACCTTGGTCCAACGCTTGCAACAATTAGTGCCTCGTTAACAGTAGTTTGGTCATGCGAGAGGGACTTTTCACGGAACCATGCTGTGCGAGCGTCAAGAGGCTTTTCGGCTCCAGAAGCTGCAGAATGCTCTTCTTCACGATATTCTCAAGCGTCTTTGTCAAAACTGGTGGGCCGGTAGGCATCCACTTTGCTTGAGTCGCCACCTTTCTGTGTTGGCTTCACGACTTAACCTTTGCAGTCGATCGGTAACGAACCAGTAGACAGTGACCCATTGAGTAACCCAGTTACGGAAGGGGAGATGACGGCCGATAGGGACTTGAGGATCAGTGGGTAGATTCCATGTGGCCCGGCAGGCTTAGTACCGCCAAGGTTTGCAAGCAGCACGTGTACACCTTCAATGCTGCAATGAACAGTTCGAAGCAGACTTACGTGAACTGATCGCCAACATTCCCTTGTGCAACCATACCACCACACCCGCTAGATTCAGGACAGCAAACAAACCGTCCATATTGGACTTTGTGCTCACGAATGAAGAGCTCATGGTTGACAAGTTATTGATGGATAGTCCATTAGGACTCAGTGACTATGTAGTGATAACGTTGAACTATGTGTCTGAACACTCGGAACTAACTCATGCAATCACACGCTACCACGTATTGAAAGAACTCTTCGACGTAGCTGCTTAGGAATTCTTAAACAACAGTCCCCATTGACAACGTTTGGACAGAGTTCGTTGATAGACTCAGCGACATCGTCAACAGAGCAACAGAGACTAAGCACCTTCTTCCCGCAAAAGTGCCTTCAATGCTAAAGAGCAGGACTCTAAAATGCCTGGCGATAAGGGATGCAGCTTGGCATGCTTAAAATGTTAACCCCTACCCAGAGACTTGGGACAATTTCCTGACCCATCTCAACCATTGCACTGAACGTGTCCTTGAGGACAAAGTAACTTGTCAACAGTGCCTAGCCAAAAATCTAGGCCAACAGCAAACTGCTGTGTAGGCAGGTCAACAAGCTTTGTAAATCGAACCATGGCATCTTTCTACTTTTCACGTCAGGCGGCAGAGTACAAAGCGCCGAAGAAGCAGCTTATACCCTGCGGCTACAATACGCCCCAATTTTCGAACTCGTAACATCTACCTGTCCCATAATATCATAAACCTTACAGACTCCATTATTCAAAAATGTAATATTAAACCCATCAGATATGTTAAGGAAGTTACTCTTACTGTGTGATCATATCTCTCCGCGAGTCGACAATATCCGCCCGAAAGCATTAAATCCTGAGGCAACAAAGTTAGCCGAACCACTGTCACAGTTCTTCACAGGGTGCTTTGATGAACAACAAGTCCCCACTATGTGTAAACATGGCATTATCTCCCCAATTTTTAAGCTCGGTAGCCGTTTAGACCCTGAAAACTATCGCCCAGCGAATTTCCTCCCTGTGCTTGCGAAGGTGATGGAAGCGGTCGTTGCTGAGTCTCTAAAGGACTACCTGGAAAAATGCAACATCTTGACACCGGAGCAGCATGGCTTCTGTCAACACCGGTCATGTGCCACTAGCATGTTGCTTGTACGAGATAGCTAGACGGAAGTGGTTGACGAAGGAGTCAGAGTTGGCGTCATCTATCTGGACTTCTCCAAAGTTTTCGGACGCCTGGATCACCGTATCCTACTTTAAAGATTCCAGAGCTACGGAATCGGAGATCCTCTACTTGGTAGGATTGGCAGCTTCCTTCACCAACGGAAGCTTGAAATACTTCTTAGGTGATCACTGTCTAACCCAACTGAGGTAGAATGCGGTATCTCGTAAAGTGCAGCGTTGGGACCACGCTTATTCCTGGTGTTTACCAACAACCTGGCAAAAGTTATCTCCTTAAATTTACTGCTTTTCGCCGAGGATGTCAAGAAATGGCGGGTGATTAGTAAAAATGAAGATCACGATCTACTCCAAAATGGCCTAGGTTGCATTTATGAATGGTCAAAGAGGAATCTGCTGCAGTTGAATATAGCTAAGTGCAAGTTGGTTCATCTGCGTCACCAGGAGCTTGACCTTTGTGTACTGGTACAGGAAAACCTTGGTTTTCCAAAACAAGCAGAGGTGACGAGAACCGGCAATCAACACTTCAGCCCGCTGCGCGGAGTGTTCGGTCGGTTTGAACCCTCAATCTTGCCCCAAATACTTAACGTCTACGCGCGACCGCACGTGGTGTACGCTATCCAGGCGTGGCAGTCGTGGCAGAAACAGGATATCGTTGCTCTCGAGCCTCCTCAACGAAGGGCAATCAATCAATTGTTCATTTGTTCTCCGAGCTTGGCGGTATTCTCGCAAAAGTTTCACCACCATGCGAGGTGTCACGCGGTTTGAGACAGAACAACTCGGGCGCCGACTTTAGCCTTGGGGAAGTGGGTGGAGGTCACGGGACCTAAATCGACACTGCCACGTTCAAAGTCACCTGCAGGTCGATCATGGATGGAGGACTCATTTAGTAAACTTACACGCTGCATATCACTGCACTGAGGATGCCACCTCGCATGGTGGTGAAACGTTTGCGAGAAAACCGCCAAGCTCGGAGAACAAATGAACAATTGATTCATCAACCCGAGCTACCAGTATTTCGAAACATTTTAAACAACTACGGGCGTTCAGCGCTCCGATGTGCTCGCCGTTGGGAGGACTTCGCTTGTAGACAAGCCTCTACAAGACAGCAGCTCTTCTTTCTTCATGAATGTCTGAGAAAAGACATTCTTCCTCGCAGTATCAGATACAGACCGCCGATTGATCACCCTCAAGCGTGGACTGCTGCTCGACAATTCGGGAGGCGTATGATACGCTTAATGATCACCGACGCTCACAATCGTCTCAGAAAATATGACAGAAGTATGAACGAACATCGATCTAGCTGCCTTCAAGTCGTTGGACAACAATTAACAGAACAACTGGAAGCTGCAATACAACGTCGGGTAGCAAACACCAGGACGAAAAAGCATAATGCGCTTCTCGATAAGTTATCAAAATTGACGTCTCCTAAAGATGAAAATATCAGTGACGGCTGGATTAGAAATCTTTCCAACCGACCAATCAACGATGCCGAAAAGCAAGTCCTCATCAAGGGATTAAACTACAACTACAGAGATGCAACGGCTACCGACTTCTTAGCAGCCTTCGAAAGCGTCCTACAATCCAATGGATTAGACGAAGAGACTCAGAAGCAAATAAGACACACAATTGTTCCTGCTATAACGCACAACAAGCAATACAACGCCTTAAGCAGACAAGAAAAAGAGGCAATGAATACCCTGAAGTCTGATGAAACTATCATTATCCTACCAGCTGACAAGGGACGAATGAGTGTCATAATGAATAGAGAGGATTACATTGAGAAGGCCACACGCCTCTTGAATGACACAACAACCTACAGGTGCATCGACACGGATCCAACTTCGCAGCTGACAAACAAAGTAAACAAGACATTGAAGCAACTTCAAGAATTGAAGCAAATCACGAAAGAAGAGCGCGAGAGGATGAGAGCCCGCGACTCGAACATCGCGCAATTCTACGGACTCCCAAAGGTACACAAAGATAATGCACCGTTGCGGCCTATCGTGTCTCTCCCTGGAACACCCACCTACAACCTGGCGAAAGAAATGTGGAGACGCCTCAAACATTTAACCTATGGATCGCAATATTCCATAACCAATGCCCAGCAGTTTCTGCAAAAGATCAAAGACCTGCGATTAGATAATGATGAAACAATGATATCATTCGACGTGACTGCACTCTTCACGTCTGTCAACTTGCAGACAGCAATAGCGGTCATCACGGAACGGCTGGAGGTCGGTGAACAACAAATCGGCAAAATGACGACCGAAAATGTATGTAAACTACTCCACTTGTGTTTGTCGACCCATTTCTCATTCAATGGAAAGATTTATGAGCAATTGAAAGGCGCACCAATGGGATCACCTGTGTCAGGGCTCATGGCAGAGATGGTTATGCAGAAATTGGAGGAGGAGGTACTACCACTCGTCAACCCGAAACTGTGGGTTCGGTATGTGGACGACACTTTTGTGATAATCAGACGCAACCAAATAACAGTCGCACAACAGCTATTGAATAACGCCATGGAAGGCATCCGATTTACAATGGAACTGGAGAAAGAAAGACAGCTCCCTTTCTTGGATGTATTAGTAACAAGAACTATGGAAGGCGAGCTGCAAACATCGGTCTACAGAAAAGACACACACACAGACCAAATTCTGAACTTTAACAGCAACCACCCGAAATGCCACAAAGTAAGCTGTGTGCGGACACTGTTTCGCAGAGTGCAAACACACTGCAGTACAACAGAAGCAAAGCAAAAGGAAGAAAAACACCTACTTAAATGTTTCCAACTCAACGGATACCCACGAAGTTTCATCCGAAGGTGTCTGAATCACAACAACGTCAACATACAGCCTACAACAACAACAACAACAGCGGCGACAACAAGCACAACAACAGCGGCAGCGGCAACAACAACGACAACGGAGAAACGGGTTGTTCTGCCTTATATGAAGAACATATCGGAAATGGCAGCCAGACTATTCAAACAGCATCATCTCATCGTAGCACACAAACCAACTGCCACGTTGAGAAAAACCCTTTCAAAACCAAAAGAAAAACTGCAAGCACATGAACAACGCAATGTAGTATACAAAATACCTTGCCGAGATTGCGAAAGGGATTATGTTGGCCAGACGGGAAGAAAATTGGTAACAAGGATACAAGAACACAAGAGAGCCTGTGTAAAGCATTATGCATCGTCGCTAGTTTCAATGCATGTAGATGAAGAAGGACATAGCTTCGATTGGAGCAAAGCAGAAGTCCTGGCACGAGGTGAAACAAGAAAAGAAAGAGAATTCTTGGAAGCTTGGTTTTCAACGAAACATTCAATCAACATGCACATGGACATCGATTCAGTATACGAGCCACTACGACAGAAAGACCTAAAGAACCTTTTGTCACGCGGTTTGAGACAGAACAACTCGGGCGCCGACTTTAGCCTTGGGGAAGTGGGTGGAGGTCACGGGACCTAAATCGACACTGCCACGTTCAAAGTCACCTGCAGGTCGATCATGGCTGGAGGACTCATTTAGTAAACTTACACGCTGCATATCACTGCACTGAGGATGCCACCTCGCATGGTGGTGAAACGTTTGCGAGAAAACCGCCAAGCTCGGAGAACAAATGAACAATTGATTCATCAACCCGAGCTACCAGTATTTCGAAACATTTTAAACAACTACGGGCGTTCAGCGCTCCGATGTGCTCGCCGTTGGGAGGACTTCGCTTGTAGACAAGCCTCTACAAGACAGCAGCTCTTCTTTCTTCATGAATGTCTGAGAAAAGACATTCTTCCTCGCAGTATCAGATACAGACCGCCGATTGATCACCCTCAAGCGTGGACTGCTGCTCGACAATTCGGGAGGCGTATGATACGCTTAATGATCACGGACGCTCACAATCGTCTCAGAAAATATGACAGAAGTATGAACGAACATCGATCTAGCTGCCTTCAAGCCGTTGGACAACAATTAACAGAACAACTGGAAGCTGCAATACAACGTCGGGTAGCAAACACCAGGACAAAAAAGCATAATGCGCTTCTCGATAAGTTATCAAAATTGACGTCTCCTAAAGATGAAAATATCAGTGACGGCTGGATTAGAAATCTTTCCAACCGACCAATCAACGATGCCGAAAAGCAAGTACTCATCAAGGGATTAAACTACAACTACAGAGATGCAACGGCTACCGACTTCTTAGCAGCCTTCGAAAGCGTCCTACAATCCAATGGATTAGACCAAGAGACTCAGAAGCAAATAAGACACACAATTGTTCCTGCTATAACGCACAACAAGCAATACAACGCCTTAAGCAGACAAGAAAAAGAGGCAATGAATACCCTGAAGTCTGATGAAACCATCATTATCCTACCAGCTGACAAGGGACGAATGAGTGTCATAATGAATAGAGAGGATTACATTGAGAAGGCCACACGCCTCTTGAATGACACAACAACCTACAGGTGCATCGACACGGATCCAACTTCGCAGCTGACAAACAAAGTAAACAAGACATTGAAGCAACTTCAAGAATTGAAGCAAATCACGAAAGAAGAGCGCGAGAGGATGAGAGCCCGCGACTCGAACATCGCGCAATTCTACGGACTCCCAAAGGTACACAAAGATAATGCACCGTTGCGGCCTATCGTGTCTCTCCCTGGAACACCCACCTACAACCTGGCGAAAGAAATGTGGAGACGCCTCAAACATTTAACCTATGGATCGCAATATTCCATAACCAATGCCCAGCAGTTTCTGCAAAAGATCAAAGACCTGCGATTAGATAATGATGAAACAATGATATCATTCGACGTGACTGCACTCTTCACGTCTGTCAACTTGCAGACAGCAATAGCGGTCATCACGGAACGGCTGGAGGTCGGTGAACAACAAATCGGCAAAATGACGACCGAAAATGTATGTAAACTACTCCACTTGTGTTTGTCGACCCATTTCTCATTCAATGGAAAGATTTATGAGCAATTGAAAGGCGCACCAATGGGATCACCTGTGTCAGGGCTCATGGCAGAGATGGTTATGCAGAAATTGGAGGAGGAGGTACTACCACTCGTCAACCCGAAACTGTGGGTTCGGTATGTGGACGACACTTTTGTGATAATCAGACGCAACCAAATAACAGTCGCACAACAGCTATTGAATAACGCCATGGAAGGCATCCGATTTACAATGGAACTGGAGAAGGAAAGGCAGCTCCCTTTCTTGGATGTATTAGTAACAAGAACTATGGAAGGCGAGCTGCAAACATCGGTCTACAGAAAAGGCACACACACAGACCAAATTCTGAACTTTAACAGCAACCACCCGAAATGCCACAAAGTAAGCTGTGTGCGGACACTGTTTCGCAGAGTGCAAACACACTGCAGTACCACAGAAGCAAAGCAAAAGGAAGAAAAACACCTACTTAAATGTTTCCAACTCAACGGATACCCACGAAGCTTCATCCGAAGGTGTCTGAATCACAACAACGTCAACATACAGCCTACAACAACAACAACAGCGGCAACAACAAACACAACAACAGCAGCAGCGGCAACAACAAACACAACAACAACAACGACAACGGAGAAACGGGTTGTTCTGCCTTATATGAAGAACATATCGGAAATGGCAGCCAGACTATTCAAACAGCATCATCTCATCGTAGCACACAAACCAACTGCCACGTTGAGAAAAACCCTTTCAAAACCAAAAGAAAAACTGCAGGCACATGAACAACGCAATGTAGTATACAAAATACCTTGCCGAGATTGCGAAAGGGATTATGTTGGCCAGACGGGAAGAAAATTGGTAACAAGGATACAAGAACACAAGAGAGCCTGTGTAAAGCATTATGCATCGTCGCTAGTTTCAATGCATGTAGATGAAGAAGGACATAGCTTCGATTGGAGCAAAGCAGAAGTCCTGGCACGAGGTGAAACAAGAAAAGAAAGAGAATTCTTGGAAGCTTGGTTTTCAACGAAACATTCAATCAACATGCACATGGACATCGATTCAGTATACGAGCCACTACGACAGAAAGACCTAAAGAACCTTTTGTCACGCGGTTTGAGACAGAACAACTCGGGCGCCGACTTTAGCCTTGGGGAAGTGGGTGGAGGTCACGGGACCTAAATCGACACTGCCACGTTCAAAGTCACCTGCAGGTCGATCATGGATGGAGGACTCATTTAGTAAACTTACACGCTGCATATCACTGCACTGAGGATGCCACCTCGCATGGTGGTGAAACGTTTGCGAGAAAACCGCCAAGCTCGGAGAACAAATGAACAATTGATTCATCAACCCGAGCTACCAGTATTTCGAAACATTTTAAAGGACAATCAAGGATGTCAGACGGCTCTTTCATCTGCCCTATCAGCTTAGACTGAAATCGCTAACAATGTACAGCAGTCGATATCGGCTTTTGCGGGGATCTCATAATGGTTTACCAGATTCTGAAGAAGCAAAACCACATTTGTTGTCCGCTGCTGGAACTTAACCACAACACTAACCTAAGTATTCATCTACTGGAACTGAAAATAGATTATAGCCGACTTGAATGTCGTAGAAATTGCTTTTCCCTCCGCGTGTGTCAGTCTTGGAAAGACCTTTCTAATTATATCGTCTCTGCTCCCAATCTGGAGCCCATTTAAAAAACGCTTTGACGTTACGTTGCCTCCATTTGTATTTCATTTTATGAGTTTTTAGCCAGGGGCTACAAAACGTAATCAAACGGTGTCTTTCCAAAATCACAACCAATGGATTTATGGATTTATACTTTTAATACGCGAACATCTTTGCTCTTCTGTATAAACCTATGGTGAGTCCACCAAAATACCTTTGGATTTGGCATGCAATTTACTTTCGCAATAACTTCCATCCCACGGGACTTGTTAAGCATTGTATTCTTACCCATAAAGCATCATTATTCCATTATTTCATCCAAACTGTCATGTTCAGCCGGGGCGGTACATGTGAAACTCGCTACAGACACCTGATCACTTGCAAACACGGAAGCGCTATGCGCCGCCCATGCGGACGCACGATCTGTGCTCCAGGTTAGGGGCTGTCCATCTGAGCCTTCCAACACTGGCACATTGCCTACAGGTCTATAAGGATGTCCGCTGTCACCTTTCCTTTTCAACTTCGCTATTGACGAAGTCATGGAGATTGCATTTACAGGACATGACTTGGAAGGTGTGGAGCTACTCCCAGCAGAACGACTTCTTGACTTGGAGTATGCAGATGACATTGCCCTCATCTGTGACAGCTCCCAGACGTGCCAAACCGCGCTGGATAGATTAGCACTGGCTGTCAGCCGCTTCGGGCTTTGCTTTGCACCATCGAAGTGCAAAGCTTTCCTCCAAGATTGGTAGGAATCGCCTCCTGCTCTGACCCTTGGTGGGGATCAGCTAGAAGTCGTTCGGAAATTCAACTACCTGGGAAGTTGTATCAGCGCTCTTGGGATCGAAGACCAGATCGCAAACCGTATAGTAAAAGCTCGAAGTGCTTTTGCTAATCTTCGCCACCTTTGGTGGCGGCGCGACATTACCCTCGCCCTGAAGGGTAGAGTGTGCAATGCAGCAGTACGTTTGACCTTACTGTACGGTTGCGAAAGTTGGCCCCTAAAATCGGCGGACATGAAGAGGCTAGTTACATTCGACCATCGGTGCCTTCGCAGTTTGGCTCACATCTGGTGGGAACACCGCGTGAGCAACGACCGTGTTCGACGCCTTGTTTACGGCACAGGGAAAGGAACTGAATCGCTCAGCACCGTCATTTCACGCACCAGGCTCCGATGGCTGGGCCACGTGTTGCGCATGCCAGCCCATCGACTCCCTCGACGTGTGTTGTTTGCTCACCGGGGATGTGGATGGAAGAAGAGGAGGGGTGGCCAAGTGATGACTTAGTCAAAAGGAATGAAGGCCCTCACTTCTGAGCTGGCCTCGGTTGGAGCGTCACGGCTCCCTGGTTAGGGTCCGAAAGACGGTGAACACGTTTGGCTGGATACACCTGCTGACATGGCAAGAAGCCGACCTCATTGGCATTCCTGCTGTGAGTTTCTTTGTCCCTCCCCATCCCAATTAGCATCCCCTCCGTCTACGCTCTCATTTCTTAACGTAAAATATAATAATTTTTTCTTTTTGCCTAGTAGCCGGTTGGTAGCTTACCGGAACGATGCCTATCCGTTGCTGGTAGCTCAGCTGGCATGCATCTTTTGTATTTATTTTCCTTTTTCATTTATGTATTGCGGCACAGTAGCTGAGGTGTTTCCCACCTCTAGCTGATGTGTATAATGATGATGATGATGATGCCTACAGGCCTCAGGCACCGCTTCACGTAAGCGAAGATGCTCTTGGGAGCAGTTTTTGCGGCAGTTACAAGTTGTTTTTCGAAGCTTTTGCGCTCTTTTGTTTTTACGTTGTTGCATGGATTTCACTGTACCTTGTACACCTTCTAATTCTCATTAGAAACAGATGATATGACTTTGTTCTATTGTTTGTGTCGTCGTCGGGCCAGTTTGCTGTACTCCTTGTCGAACTAATGTGGTTTGACTGGCCCGACTTTCCGATAATTTAGGGGTACAAATCGGGTGCAATACGACTTCACTCAATCTTTAATAATAGTTCTACAGGTTTTAACAGACGAATGCTCTGGTAACGACCAGTCCAACTGACTCGCTGCATGAATGAGGCCATTTAAGTCCGTCTTCCAACAGTTGAAGGCTTGCGCCAGGGAGGGAGAATACGTTAGCGGCAGTTGCAAACTGGTTATGACTATCAAGTAGTCACTCGCTTCCAGCGACTCCAAGACCTGAATGTCATGCACATGTTGCTCACAGCTGGTCAACAGCAGGTCTAAGCACGAAGGAGTCCCACGCGAGTTATGCATGTTGGCTGACTGACATGCTGTGTGGTCCCAGTTTCAAATATCATCTCCGCAAACTTCCTTTCGACTGCACGACAGCCGGGGAAATGTTTAACATCAGGATATTGTATTAGATGTAAGTTGAAATTGTCTATGAGTAGGAACAGCAGACGACTCATGTGGTTGCGGACATCCGGCAACCAGTCCAAGCAGCCGCTCAGTGGACAGCGATTTATCACGCTCACGAGAAAGAACTTAAATAAACCAGAACACCACCACGATCATTTGATAGTCTATTACTGCAGAAGGACGAGTAGCCGCTAATTTCCATTTCTCGGGCCTTTACCTTGGAGTTTATCCATGTCTAACTAAGGCTTATTACGTCTGGCCGCAGAGAGGTTACAAAGTAGCACGACTCAGCGCGCTTGTTCAGCAGACTGCAGAAGTTAGTAAACGCTAAGCGCAGGCCGCAGTAGGAACGGCTGAGCAAGCCTGAAGCATCTGAAATCTGTTGACCCGAATTCATGGAGGAATCCGGGTGAATACCCAAAAATTTACAATGGTTAGATTTATTTCTCCATCGTCCGTGCTCCGCTTTAATTCAATCATTGCAGACTTGAGTTGCTCTCTGTCTGCTGGGTCTAAATCAGCACTCACGTGGGTCTTTAAACCCTTCAGCCTACCAAAGTGGGACAAAATCAACTTAGCATTTGCCTCTTCAACAAAAATCACCCTTATAGGCCGACTTTTGCTTTCGGTTCTCTTTCCGAGACGGGCGATTTGTTTCACCTTTAGCCCGTCCTCATCCAGTCTAACAGACAGACATTGTAGAAACGCGACGTCATGTTCATAGCGTAACTGAGGATTGAAATCACAGAATGCAGGTGTGTGAAAGACCATAAAGATGCGTCGCCCCAGGAGACTGAACATTGTTCTCGGTTGCTTTGGTGTTTGCTTTTTCTATTCGGTATCACCTAGTTGCCCAATTTGCAACCGAGCTATAGTGTCAACCAACGAAAACGTAAGCGGCGGAGCCGAGCTTTCCGGAGTTCTAGCAACTTGCTCTAACGATACAGTCGCTGGGGTACTGGGTGGTGACTGTTTCTCTGATTGTGTAACAATTTCGCGTGTCAAAGACGAATATTACCGTGTAAAACGTTTATTAGCTAAGGTTTTGAGGATGTTATGAAGTTCATTTTCAAAGTGTCGCTGTATGCGTATATACATGTATATCCATTTGGACTACACAAAGTATCCTAAATATTATTCGAATGATGTAACACTGCATCACATTGCGTGATTTCATCATGCACACATCAAACAGGGTTGCCTGTCTAATTTGCTGTTGGATTGTAGTACTACCGTCAGGCTGTTGCTGAAGTGCACTGACGTCATCCGTATACTACACAAAGCATAATGTGAAAAGTGGAGCATTTAAAGAGTTTAAACTTTTTGAGGTACAGTTCGTCATACTTTTAAGTAACGACGTCATCAAGTTATACATTTATTCCTTTAGTTACCAAACAGAACGCTAATGTCTCGAAATTGCTTACATACCGCGGACAATTTTTGCTATCTTCGTGGGGAAGTGAGATTTGCCAACCAGAAGAAAATTATCACTGAAAAGTAATAATGGGATTCCATCTTTACTTTCAGTGGAGGATTCCTTACCCGGACTATCCTTGGACCTCACATATATGCTGTGTTACATACACAACATAATCTTTACGGTGGTTAAATGGTAAAAACCATCACTGTAATTTGCAGTACCGATGGCAC